GAATTGACGAAAAAGGTAAAAGAATGTGGCACACTTGCTGGCAAGTCGCCGGTGTCGGTTGCCGCCGCATGTATATATCTGGTGTCGAATTTATCTTCACACCCAAAGTCCACTAGAGAAATTGCTCCGGTGGCTGGCGTGTCGGAGGCTACTATCAATAATTCGTATAAGTTTTTGTATCATGATAAAGATAAATTACTTGAAGATAAAGAGGGTGGTAATTGTAAGGCTTTACCGTCTCCGTGAAGAATAGGTGGGGAAAGTAATAAAATCATATAACAATGAGAGGTAGGCGATATTTGTATAATTGAGGTAAGTGCCGGGAAAAGGAGGAAAATGACGATTCCTTTTTCCTGCACTCATCCCAATTTCATTTAATTATATCATCGAATTCAATTTCTTTTTATTTTCCAATATGGGCAATCGGTCATATATTATCCTCTTTACCGCTGCTAAACAATAGCACAGTTGCCAAAAGATATATATTTTCTTTTTTTACACAACATACACCGAGTCACTGAAAATATTAAATGAATATGACATCACTTTTTTATTGCCTTTTATGTAATAATGAAACTTGTTTCCATATTGAATTCTATAATAAAATCCTATACTATTTTGAACACGTGATTTTGAGTGTGAAATTGTTCACAATGTCAAATTTTTCAACTTACAAATTTTGACAATTTGAACATTAATTCATGATATGAAACAACCTGCAACAAAACCAGACAAAGTGAACATTCTGTTATATGACATAAATGAGAGGCTGATGTAACTAAAAAATTAATGTGATATTTGGAAAGAGCTTATTTTAATACATAGCTATGACTCAGACATAATTTATAAACTCTTAGATTTGTTTTGAAAAACATGACTGAAATTTAACTTATTTTAATTAAAACTGATACAGTTATTTGTTAACAATTATAATATATTTCATATAGAGTTATCTTTATATAAAAAAATTATAATATGAAACTAATTTATATTAAATTTATCATAAAATTAAAGAATTATAGCATAATTAGAAGTATTCTAAAGAAAATTCAAGATGAAAAAATTATTCCATTTGTTTTAAAATCAATAATATTCAAATATTTTAAAAATATTTAGATAAAGAAAAAATTACTTATAAAATTTATCAAAAATTAAAAATATTAATATTAAAAAAAGAAAGCTAAATAATAATATATTATTATAAAAAAGATAAAAATATCTAGACAAAAATATTTGAATAAAAAAATTTAATACAAAAAAATTTATTATTAATTTTAGCTTTTATTAATAAGATTTTTAAATATAATACTAATATTTCAGATTTTTACTATAAATTAAAAAAAATTTTTTGTTTTTAAATAGTTTTTTTACTTTTTTTTTGTAAAACTCTTTATAAAAAAGTAATTTATATAAATAAAAAATTATAACTAAAAAAAAATATTTTAATTATCATAATATAAAAGAAAATTTAATTATTAATTAATAAGATAAAGAAAATAAAAAATATATTAAATTTTATTATTAAGATTATTTTTAAAATTTAATTTAAAAAAAATTAGATGAAAAAATTATAAATTAAGAAAGAAATAAAAAGAAAATCTTTAGAAAAATCTTATAAAAGATTAAAAATAAAAAAAATTTGATTAATTTTAAAAATAAAAAATAAAAAATTAATATAAATAAGATAAATAAAATAAAATTATTAAATATTATTCTTAATATAAAATTATATAAATAAAAATATTATTACTTATAAAGATAATTAAGTATATAAGTACTTATAATATTATAATTATTAATAATAAATTATAAGAAATATATAAGATAAATATTTTACTTGAAAAGATAATAATATTTTTAGTTATATTTGTATTAAAAATACAAAAGAGAGTAAACTAGTTTATTATATATATAATAATATTAAAATATATAAAAAAGAAATAAATAAATTCTAAATTTTTAATTTTGAAAGTATTATATATTCTGACTTGATTTTAAGAGTAAATTTCAAAACTTATTTAATAATATTTATTAAATATTATATTAAAATTCTTAAAAAAATAACTAGATAAGAATAATTAAATATTTTATCAATACTTAAAGATATTATTATAAAATAGAAAAATCTCTTGATTATAACTTAAATATTACTATTAGAAAGATAAAAGATCAAAATTTATTTTATTTTTATATGAAAATAATTTTCAAGTATAAGAAGAATTATAATAATATAATATATTACTATGCTTATTATAAATTAATTAATTTTAAATAAATAAAATTAATCAAAAAAATATTAAAACTAATCAAAATAATAATATTATTAAAAAGTAATATAATTACTAAATTAAATAATAAAACTATTTTAAAATATATAATTATTTTTTTTAAAAACTATTTATTTAATAATATTAATATAACAGATCAAGAAACTTAAAATAAACTTGATAAAATATTATAAAAAATAATATAAAAAATAGAAGAGAAAATAAATTATTATAATTTTATTATTTATCATTATTTAGAAAAAAATATTATAAAACTTGAAAAAAAAGTAAGAAAATATCATTATAATTTATAATAATTATAATATATATTTGAATTTTAATAAGTATTATTTTTTAAATTTATATTATAAAAATAATAAAAATAATTTAAATTTATAAAAAATGATTAATTTTTAGATATTATAAAAAATAAATACTTAATAAAAAAAATAAGAGATTGAGATTTATTATTAAAAATAAAATAAAATTTCTTAAAAAGTTTATTAAATAATTTATTATAAAATATTATTATTTTTTTTAAGTTATTTTGATTATTAAACTAATTAAATTTAAGAAAATAAGAATTAATTATATTATTTAATATTTTTTTTATTTATTATAAATTACTTAATTATATTTTATATTAACTTAAATAATATTTTTAAATTTATTATAATAAATTTAAATTATAATTTTTTATATTTTTATTTTGTTCTTGTCTAGAATTATTATTTTAGAATATTTATTATTACTTATATTTATAATTTAAAATATAATAAATTATAAAAAAAATAAACTTATTATACTTATATAATTTAAATTAATCTATATATATTATAATAAGAATTTAAAATTATATTCTTTTTTATAATTGATATTATTAGAAAAGTATATTTTCTTTATCTATTAAGTTTGATTGCCTAGCAATAGATCATACTCTGCCTTTTTCATAACTAGAACATTAATTTGTTGACTTAGATCTCTAATTTTTATTTTTAACCCTTCTATTTCTTCTAATAATCATTTAGACTTCTTATTTATATATATGAGATTAATATTAGAGAGCTTATTAATCTTTTTTCTTACTTATTTCAAAAATCTGGCTGATATAATATTATTAACTAATTCATTATCAACTATTATTCTGATAAGTTGGTCTTCTACTTTTTCTTTACAGTGAATTACATCTATCACTTTTCTATTTTTTTTTAGATTTTTATTTTTCTCTATAGTTTTGATTAATAATTATTATAAGAATGTTATTAAAGATTTTTGAGATTGACTTATACTCTGATCTTCCTCAAATATGAATTCTAGTTTAAACACAGAGTATTATTATTATTAGTAGTGATATTAGAAGATAAGAGTATAATAAACTATTTATCTAAGAGTTATTATAATTATTATAGTAAAAGATTATTATTTAGAATTATAATAGTAATATTAATTTTAAGATTAGCTGGCTATTTAGTATTCATATTTCTTTCTATATAGCTGTTAATATATTATTCTATTTTATTACATTTAAAATACTTAATATTTAAGATACTATTATTATTATTATTATTATTTATATTTTTCTTTGGTAATCTACAATCATGAACTATATAACTATTTTTATTATATTTATAACAAATTTTGCCTTGATTAGAATGATTATTGAAGTTTCAGTTATTCTGAGTTAATAGTATCTTTACTTGTTCTATAAGATTAGCTATAATTTTACTTATATCACTTACTGAATTTGGCATAGTGAAGAAAATGCCAAGATTTTATGGCATAAAGAATATAGAGTTAAGAGAATTCTAATAGATCTGTCTATAGCTAGACTCTGTGCTAATTGTTTTTATAATTATTATATCTAGAGTATCTGGATTAGATTTATTTATATAAAAGATAATTTCTAACTTCAAGTCTTTTAACAAATTACTTGATATAGTAAATAGCAGGATATACTTATGTTAGATCAATTTTTCTAAGTAATATGTGAATATCTTCTGCATAAAAAGTTATATCTTTATTTGTTTCTTATATTCTTAATCTTAACTATTATTACCATGCCAAGATTTAGATATTTGTTTTAAATTATGTAATGAAGATTTGATAAAAAGAATCATTATTATTATTGATATTCCAACTTATAGATCAATTAGCATTTATAGCTTTATTTTGCTGATATCAGATTAATATAATTTCTCTCAAATAGGCAGATACTATTTTTACTTTTCTTGGATTTATTATATTATTTATATTTACTAAATAAGTAAATTTCTTGATCTAATTTATAGAATCTTTATGTGTTTTACCATTATAAAAGAGAAGTAACACTATTAATAATTTAGCTTGTTGATTCTGTTGATTTTGCATTACTATTATTAATGAAGTAAGAATAATTATTAATATCTGAACTATCTAAACTATCTGATTTGCTATTTCATCTTCTTGATTTCTTTGAGATTGAAGAAAAGATGAATCTAAAAAAATAGGGAGATTAACTTCTTTTTCTAATAACTTGTCTTCTGTTATATTTTTGGATTGAACTGGAGCTCTTCTTCTATATAAAATATTAGTAAAAAATATATTAGGAATTAAGACTAAAGTGGATGATAATGAAACTGATATAGAGATTCTAATTGAAGTATTAACTAAAGTACTAAATCTTGATCTCTAGATATAATATGATCTTTATTGATTAAATATAGTAATTTTCTCATGTAAATTATGAATGATATCAGTAATCTTAGTTGCA